TCGTCCTCGCACATTCCACATCCATCATCTTCTTCAACTTCTGACATAGGGTTGCCAATGACAATGGTCATTGGCCCAGCCGGGACTGGCAGGTTTCCCTGCTGTACAAGCGTCTGAGCATCGCTTGGCTGCCCCGGAGTCGGCGGTACGGTAGTCGGCTCAGGCTCGTTACCGAGCATAGCGCGCGCCTCGAGCTGATCATAGTCATATGAGGGCTGCCCGATAACATGTCGCATGGCCGTGTGGTTGGGCTGTAGCCCCGCCGCCTGGAGACCCCATCCTGGCGGAGGGAGAGCCTGCCCACGCATGGAGATGGCCCTTTCAAGGGCTTGGCGCCATCTCCCTCTAGACTACCACATGTCGCTGCACGTCCTCAGGGCGTGCGCTGTCGATGAGAGTAAGGGCCGCTAACAATAGCTCCGAGTCGTCACAGGCATCGGTGTCTTGTAGCATCATGTGGCCACTCTCGACACTCTCTTGGCTCTCGGGATATGCTACGACCAGTACAGCGTGCATCTGCATGAGAGTCTGCAGTGTCGCGTGCGGTCCGTACTCGCCTGGCGCGAGCATGCCAGGTGGCACGCGTGGGTTTCCTGGCACGCCCACGGTGAATGCTTGAGCCTCTAATTCCTTGAGATCACCATGATTTGGAGGATATACTGGAGTGGGCCTGTTTCCAGGCATGAGGTCGGGTTGACGTCGAAGGTTGCGGTCCACCTCCGAAGGCGAGGCCTCAACAGTGACTTCCTCGTCGCTGCTCTCGTAGGCCATGATGTTGCCTGGGTTGCCGAACATCCAGTCGAAGAAAGAGATGGGCTGGTTTCCCAGCGTTCCGTTCTCCACAAACGTAAGCTCGATATTTCCGAGAACAAACCTGCGGAGGTACTCGAGGTAGTACGCGTAAAGCCCATGGCCGCACGCACGCCTCGAGCTCATCCAAATTGTCCATACTGCTAGCCCAAGTGAAAAATATCTGTTCCACAGCCTCGAAGTCTTGGAGGCTCAGATATTCAATAGACGGTTCACTTGAGCCTAAATGAGCTTCGGTCGATCCACCCTTTCCATTTCCCTTCGCTGGACAAGCATTTACAAGATGATCGGCACTATCACACTCATGGCACTTTAAGATCTGGCCGTCTCTACCTCGCGGGTTTCCCCGCCTACCTTTACCTTTGCCTGGGGTCTCCCCGCGGCCTTTTCCACTGCCTTTTCCCCCGAACAATATCTCATCATACTGATCATCTGAAAGCCTCTGGAGGAAAGCCGAGATGCTTCGTCCGTTCAACCTTCGGCGACCCCGTTTGCCTTTACCTTTTCCTTTGAAGCTCCTCCGTATCCTCCTCCTAACACGACGCACTGGTCCTCGTGTAAACCTCCTCCACCTACGCTTTGCTTGTTGTAATGGCCAGAACAGGTGTTCGGCGCGCTGATTGCCCCCTTCCATTTGCATGGTATCTGACCAATCTAGGGGTTCGATACAATTTGGTGATATAGTGTCGGTGTCGGTGCCGGAGTCAAAGTCGTCGTTACCTAAGTAGGTGGATATCCCATCATTTAGGGGATTACACCGTCGTTTAGGGGATTCGCTTCACCCCATAGGGAACGGTGGGGTTGAGGCTCTCTAGGAGGAGGGCTGGTTGCCCAGCTCGGTTGTGATCGATCCCCTGCTAGTAGGGCAGTAGATTATCCAGGATCGTCGGCCCATATGTTTGAGGGCCCGTTGCCAGGCTGAGCTTCAGTGGTTAAGGTAGTATAGAAGTTTCCACTGCCAGTTCCCCTTCCCCTTCCAATCGCTGATCCTATGTTGCCAGGAGACCGTTCTGACAAATTGCCTATAGAGCGCATCCTCTCACGCAGTTCGTCGCGCTGCTGTTGTGTTCGGGGCATTTGGTGGTTGAGTGGCTGTAAGAGTTGCATGGCTCGCTGGTTGCCAACGCCTAGGGCGCGGAACAGGATAGTCGTGAGCAGTTGGAAGTTGGGAAGGTCAAATCCCAACCACTGTGCCTCAAGACGGGCCATCTCGAACCGAGTAAGGGTTGCATCGATTCGTTCCCCGTGAGGCACGCGGAAGTCGATGAGCTGAGTGCCTGAAGCGAGCTGGCGCTCATCTTCCAAGCGTTCGAACTTCATGCTTAGGAGGAACATAATATAGGTTACTGGGTCGGTGTGGACACCATCGATGTCCGCACCATAGTTTATAATGTCAGGTGGTACCCTCATGGCGAGTGTCTTCGCTAGGCCACCCAAACCGCGTTGTATGGCAGCTGCTTGGGCTTGTGGCGTCATGCGTCCGCTTGTGACGTGAAGCCACGCGTTGACCTCATAAACGTATTCGCGGAAAGGTACGTTGCCTTGAGGGTCCCAATATGGGCCATGTGTCTGCCCATCTGTGCTATTGTCTCCTCGGCGCGTGCGTCCGATTGCTGCCCCCAGCGCAAACCATATGATGGCGAAGATAACCAGCCCAAGGCTGTGAAGATATGGGTGGTTATCAGGCGCGTTGCCGCGCTGGGGTAGGGCTTGTAACGCCTTGTCAAGTCTACGAGGCGCTTTATCTTGCGGGTCTCCCCGCCTATGCTTCAAGTGCTGCGCTTTTGGCTCGTTGCCGAGCGGTTGGTAGTAGCGTAGTGATGAAGCGTATATGGTACCAATGTTGTTGTCTAGACGTCGTACCTCTCGTGTTGCTTCTTGCTCTTGAATTGATCCTCGTGAATGTAGTTGGAGTGGTGGCGCAGGGTAGAAGTTGGTCACGAAGATCGCGCCGGATAGCGTGAGGATAAGAAGAGCAAGAGCTGACCACACGAGAGCGCGGCCAGCTCCGCTACCAAGTCTGAAATGACTCTGGCAGGTCATATAGCATCCAATTCCATGTCGAAAGAATACGATATGGGGAGTGGATGGAGAAGATAGGATAAGATCGATGTAATGATCTTTCCAACACATAGCGAACACTGAGTCCGGCCAGATAGGGCGCGCGTGCCTTGAGCCAAAGGCAGCGGCGCGCAGGCTATACTCCCGATCCTCTATAACATCTCCCAAAGAGCTACCCTTAAAGTGGTTGCTTTGGAAAGGTTTTAGAAGGTGTTTGGAACAAAAAAACCGTCCAAAAACCTTCCTAAAACCTTCCTCTGAAAGGTTCCAGGATTCCCCGAACCTTCCGACAAAAAAAAACTGATCTAAAACCTTCTTCAGGAAGGTTCCAGGATTCCTGGAACCTTCCCAAAACCTGCCGAAAAACCTTCCTCACTAAGGTTTTTGGAAGGTTTTTGGGCCAACCCATCCTGGAACCTTCCTGAGGAAGGTTTTCGTAAGGTATTCGGAAAGGTTTGTCGGATGTTTATGTTTGAAGGCTTTTGGAAGGCTTTTGTTTTGAAAGATTTTTGGAAGGTTGTTGGAAGGTTGTTTGGGTTTGCTTGCTTGTCTTGTTTTGGAAGGTGTTTGGGAGGTCTTTTGGGAGGGCTTTGGGAATGTTTTGGGCGGTTTCGCAAAATGCTGAAAACATTTTAGGAAGGTTTTGGGAATGTGTTTTTTATATAAAAAAGGTTTTCTTTTTTTGAAAGGTTGTTGGACGGTGTTAGGGAAGGTGTTTTGAAGGTGGTTTTGAAGGTTTTTGGAACAACCCTCCTAAAACCTTTCTAAAATCTTCCTCCGGAAGGTTCCAGGATTCCCGGAACCTTCCGAAAAACCTTTCTAAAACCTTCCTCTGGAAGGTTCCAGGATCCTGGAACCTTCCAAAAAACCTTCCTGAAACCTTCCTCACGAAGGATGTTGGAAGGTGTTTGGGCCAACCCCTCGTGATGAGGAAGGTTTTAGGAAGGTTTCAGGAAGGTTTGTTGAAAGGTTGTTGGAAGGTGTTTGGAAAGTTGTGCTGGAAGGTTTGGGAAGGTTGTTGGAAGGTTGCTGGAAGATGTTTAGAAGGTTTTTTGGAACACCTCCTGTTGTTCTCGTTGTTGTTTTAGATTACTTTCTACATAAAAAACGTCCTAAAACCTTCCTCAGGGAGGTCCCAGGATTCCTGGAACCTTCCAAACAACCATCCGAAAACCTTCCTCAGGAAGGTTCTAGGATTCCTGTAACATTCCAAAAAACCTTTCGGAGGAAGGCTTTAGGAAGGTCTTAGGAAGGTTGTTTTGGAAGGTTGTTGCAAGGTTTTTGAAATGTTTGTTTTGGAAGATTTTTGGAAGGTTATTGGACGGTTTGTGCTTGTTTTGTTTTCGAAGGTTGTTTGGAAGGTTTTCGGAAGGTTTTGGGCGGTTTCGCTAAATGCTGGAAGGTGTTAGGAAGGTTTGTTTGGAAGGTGTTTGAAGGTGTTTGGAAGGTTATTGGAAGGTTGTTGGGAAAAACCTTCCTAAAACCTTCCTCAGGAAGGTTCCAGGATTCCTAGAACCTTCCAAAAAACCTTCCTAAAACCTTCCTCAGGAAGGTTTCAGGAAGGGTTGGCCGAACTGCCGCACCCAACTGAGGCGCCGTGACGTAACGGCGGCAGGCCACAGTAGAAATATATAGAAATGTAGAAGTATAATTCGGTGGGGCTCCCAGGCGAGAGCGCCCATGGCCATTCCTCCTCCTCCTCCTCCTCCTCCTCCTCCTCCTCCTCCTCCTCCTCCTCCCCCATCCCTCCTTTCCAGTCCTCCCGCCGCCCCTGAACCAGCGCTTGGCCAGAGAGCCTGCCGCGGTCTACTGGGACCCTAGCCGCTCCAAGGGCAATCACAGAGAGATCTTGGTGCTGGCGCCACTTCGCATGGCGTCCGAGCCGCGGTGTGCTCTGCAGCGGAATGGGCGCCCTGTGTCCCCCAATAAACTTCCATGGCCTTCCGCTGCATGCGACGCCGCTGTGACCTGCCGATCGACTGAGGCTTTAAGGACATGCGCGAACCATCCGAGCTGTCGGTCCCACACTTCTCCGAGCTCCTGCCAGCCTGCTGCTTGGCGTCCTCCTCCTTCGGCAGACGGCCTCCCCCGAATTCTCCCACCCAGGAGTTCCCTCCGCTGCTTGCCACCTCCGCCGTTGAGGACGATGTTGCGTCAGAGGTGGGATCCGACTTGGGGCGGTCTCCCACGGTGACGTAGTCGATCCAGGGCGACGGATGGTCCAGGAAGGTGTTCTTGGAGGTCAAGCCGTTCGGCAGCTTGGCCGCCACCGGCGCCAGGGACCCCTGAAGGCTCATTGTCCGTGGAGCCGCGCGCGGCTCGGCCCAGACCAGCTTGAGTCAGAATGGCTGCGGAGGGTCAAACTTAGAAAAAACAAAAAGCATAAGCACAAACTTTTCGAGCTCCGCGCGGACTTCTTGGATCTGCGCTGGACCCCCCCCCATGCGCGCGGAGCGCGCCAGGGGCGGCGCCGGAAGCGCCGCCAGGGGGGCCCAGCGCGGATCCAAGAAATCCGCGCGGAGCACCACAAGTTTATGTTTATGGCTTCTTCCTTCGTCGATCGAAAGTAGCTCCAGCTTTGAGAAGCTATCCCGAGGCCCTGTTTGGGCCCTCGTGGGCCCGCTCGGGGCCCTCCCGGAGCCTGCCTCTTGGGGGCATCTGGGGGCCGCTGCCCGGCCTGCGGTCCGCTGCTGCCGCCGGCTGCGCCCCGATGGCACTGGGCAGGCCATGGCCGTGGTTTGCCGAGGCCGCTCCCGAAGACTCACCACGGGGTGCCGAGGCGAGGCCGCGGACGTGAGCGCTGTCTTCTTCGGCGTTTCGACACTGGATGGAAGGGGGGGGTCTGGCTCTGGACCTCTGCTTGATGCGACAGTTTGGAACCGTGCGTCCTCTGGGGAAGACCCCACTTGCTCGAAATACGCGCCCACAACAGCCAACCAAGATCTACTCCATGTGTGGGGGGGACCAGAGCCCGCGCCGATCACAGCGAAACAAGGAATTAGAAACCGAACATCATGGAGTTCGCGGCCGCCTGCTTCAGACTCGCGGGACCACGAGGTCGAGCACGAGCAACAACGGGCCACGGACTCCGAGGCGCTGCGCCGGGGGGCCTCCGAGAGGGGGAGAGCGGCCAGCAGCCCTCAGCAGCGTGCCTTGTGTTGCTGCGGCGAGAAGGAGGAGGAGGAGGAGGAGGAGGAGGAGGAGGAGGAGGAGGAGGAGGAGGAGGGAGGAGGGGCGAGGGGGGACGGGGAGGCTGAGGAGGATACCGTGAGGAGGAGGAGGAGGAGGGGAGGAGGAAGAGGAGGAGGAGCAGGAGGAGGAGGGTCCACGGAGGGGCCGCGAGCGTGAGCGGGGCCGCACAGGGGGGGGGGGGACGAGGCGCCACGGGCCACGAGCTGCTGCCTGGTGCCCTGCAGCCCCAGCAGGGGCCCACGAGGCCCAAAAGGGTCACAGCGAGGAGTTACCTCTCCTCCGCTTCCTCCGCCTGCCGCCTCCTCCCCATCACCAGCTTCCCGCCCTCCGCCCCTTCCTTCCTCTTCCCCCCGGCTCCTCCCCTTCCTCCTCCTTTCCCTTCTCCTCCTCCTCCTCCTCCTCCTCCGCACTGCCGCCTCCTCCTCCTCTCCTCCTCCTCCTCCACTCCTTCCCCCTCCTCCTCCTCCTCCTCCCCCTTCCTCCTCCCCCTTCCTCCTCCCCCCCTCCTCCTCCCCCTTCCTCCTCCTCCCCCTTCCTCCTCCTCCTCCTCCTCCTCTTCCCGCCCGAAACTCCTCCTCCAAAACTCGGGGCTCCGCTGGGAGGAAACGCTCCTTCTGTGAAGCGCGCTGAGATCTGGCATCCTCGAGGAGACACTCTTTCTTGATCAACGCCTGGGCCGCCCCCAGACCCCCGACGCAGTGTTTTTTCTTACGACGTGGACCCCCAAAGACCCCCGACCCCTTCCCTGGACCGGCTTTTCCTCCCGAGCCGTTCTGTGGCGGCCCCTGGGGCCCGGTGAGGGCCGCCGGCAGGTGCAAAGCTGCCCCGAACTTCCCGCCCGGCTTTCTGGTGCCCAGTGGTGCCCAAAGGTTTCCCTGAGCGCACGTCCGAACCGACCATATATATATATATATATATAATTGTATACACATGCTTGTGTATGTGTACATGTGTACACACATACCTGTCTATACGCAGTTGTAACACTACAAGTATACATACATGCATGCATGCACACATACATACATGCATACATACAGACAGGCAGACAGACATACAGACATATATACACATATACATACGTGCATACATACATGCAGGCCGTTCATACACACATACCTACATCGATCAATACACACATACATACATGCATGCATACAAACATACATGCATGCACACATTCATTCATTCATTCATTCATTCATGCATGCATACATACATACATACATGCATGCATACATACATGTATGCATACATACATACACACATACATATATACATACATGCATGCGTGCATGCATGCATGAGTGCATGCATGCATGCATGCATACCTACCTACATACCTACCTACCTACGTACATACATACATACATACATACATACATACACACACATACATACATACATACACATACACACATATGTACATACATACATACATACATACATACATACATACATATATACATATATACATACATACATACATACGTACATACATACATACATACACACATGCACAAATACCTATATACATACACACATACATACACATATATACGTTATATACCTATACATGTACCTATATATATATATATACATATACATACATCATCATGATCACAGACATCTCATCATCAGCGTGGTCGTAGATATCGTCGTCAGAATCATCAAAACCATCAGGATCACCATCACCAGCATCATCGTCACCTTCGTCATCATCATCGTCATCATGTATGAGGGCCCATCGGGGAGCTGCCCGGCAAGCATTTTCGGACGCATGGTTGGGGCGGGGGGCGTAAGCCTGAGGAGCCATGTTCCCGCAAGGCTTCCTGGGAACATGATTTGTTGGGGGTGTCGTTGGGCGCCTCCGGAGGCTTCGGGGCCTGACGCGTTTTTAAGCGTGGCGGCAGGTAGCGCTGCTTGGGACTCTCGTTTTTTTCCTGGCAGGCGTTTAAGGAGCACGGTTTGGGCAGAGGGCGGCAACCCGAGAATCATGTTCCCAGGAAGCTTTCCGGGAGAATGATTTGCTGGGTTCTCTTAAGAGGGGAGTCTCTGGGGGCTGACCGAGGGGCCCCTTTTGGCCTTGTCGGCAAGCCTATTGGAAACAAAATTGGGGCGGTGGGCGGAAGCCCAAAGAATCATGTTCCTGGAAAGCTGTGTGGGAAATGCGATTTACCGAGGTGCCTTGGGGGCCCGCAGCGGGTTTCCTTGGGGGCCTCTTGGGGGCCTATTGGGGCTTCCCGGGGGCCTCTTGGGAGCCTCACGGGGCTTCTTGGGAGCCTCTTGATGGCCTCCGGGGGCGTCCTAGGAGCCTCTGAGGCCGGAGACATGGAATGTCGCGCTCTTCGGGCCCTCTTGGGTCGCTCATGGGGCTCTCTTGCTGGCTGTCTTTAGGGCGGGGTTTTGGAGCTCAACTGACTCGCTCGGTTTTTGCATCATCGTCATCATCGTCGTCATGATCCTCATCATCGTCCGCGTCATCGCCATCATCATCACCATCTCCTCATCACCGTCGTCATCATTATATCCATCATCATCTCCTCGTCGTCGTCATCATCATGTGGTGATGATGCTCAAATGATGACGTTGATGATGATGCTGATTATGACGATGCTGATGAAGCCGATGATTGTGATGATGATGGCGATGATGATGATTACGCTGACGATGATGAGGATGACGATAACCTTTTTTCGGGCTGCGCGGGCCGCACGGAGTATTGTCGCATTCTAATCGGATTCGGATGCTGTTGCAGTCTAATCGGAATCGGAAAGCACCTCAGCCTCCGTGGAAGCGGGCCACCGCATGTCGTCAAGCACCTCCGTGAAGTCGGGCAGCGCCACGGGGGCCCGTGCCAGGTGATCGGCCACGACGTGGTTCACGACGGTGAAGAACTCCTTCGGGCCAGGCGTGGCGTCGATCCTGCGCGCCCTGTACTCCCGAAAGACGTCGGAGCGGATCATCGCGGCGATCTGCAGCCTGCGGTCTTCTACGTGCTGCTGCAGCTCGTGGTGGGCCCCGAAACAGTCCTGGCAGGCCGCGGAGGCGTGGTGGTGCACGTTGCGCTCGAGGGAGGACAGGGTGCCCATGTAGAAGGACCCAGGCTTTTGCTCGAGGGTGACGAACCTTCCGCAGGAGGCTGTGCTCGAGGGCGACGCCCCATGTGCTCCCAAGACCCCTGGCATCCTCACTTGCACGGAGCGCGTCCCGAAAAGCGTCACGGCCGCGTGCAACAGGGATCATCCGCCATCTGTGTGCAAACCATCGTCCCGTGCGCCTGGTTGCATGAGCTGGATCGATGCGTACGCGAACGCGTTGTCGGCGAAGTGCTCTGTCATGATGGGCTGTCCGTTCTGCTCGGCGATGGCATCTGGCACGCCGTCGGCGATGACTGCCTCGCGCATTTTGTCTCCCAGCTGTTGCAGCCGCGGGCGCATCCTTCTTCCGCGCCGCTCGCACGAAGGCGGCGAGGTGGGCCGAAGGGATGACCTTCAATTTCGTGCCCTTGTTGAGGCTGCGGCACTTCGGGGGGCTTTCGTCGTCCACGATGCCTGGGACTTCTGTTTTGAAGCCCTTTGCCGCCTCGTCGCCTCGGACGCATTTGGAGACGGTTGCCCCCGTGTCCAGGCGCTCCTTGGCCAAGTTGTGCAACAGTTGTGCCGGCGCGGGTCTCTCTGCAAGAAGCGGAACAAGTCTGGGTCCAGCTCCGCCTCCGCTATCGTGCCCGCGCCGTTTTTTCCCTGCGCCATGGAGATGCGCACGTCGAGCTGGGCGCCAGCCAGCTGCAGGAAGCGACGCGCCCTTAGACGGCCGGTTGTCGCTCTGGCGCCAGGGTGCCAAAGCAGGCAGCTCTCGGCGGCCGTCAACAAGTCTGGGGGGCAGCCTGCAAGTTCGGAAACGGGCCAGCGCCCTCGGCCGTCGAGTGGCTTCGCTGTTTCAGCCTTTAGCCAATCCTCGCCCGATCGCTCGAACCACTTCTTAAAGAAAGGCAGGTTGTCCAGCCACGGGGCGGGGTCCTCGTAACCGTAGTCTCCGGGCCCTGGCTCCTCGCCTGGGATCCCCAAGACCCCCCTGAAGGCATCCACGAAGTCTTCCGGGCGCG